AGTCCTCACTATCCTTAGCGACCTATTAAAGCTTAGCTGGATCTTCAAATATCAAGAAGAAAAGTGCATCTGATGGAGACAGAACAGCATGGGCAAGCTTGTAGCAGGAAAAAAAAAACATGGCACATTTAGGTAATAATGAGTGGTTTCGAGTAGTTACAGAGGTAAGCCTGTCAAACTGTCTAATGTCAAATACTTTGATAGAGTTAAAAAAAAACAACCTTGAGTGATTTGTGAGCAGTATAATTTGACAAAATGAATGTATTTTGCATTATACTCTATAGGACCAAGGCAGTGAAAGTAGGAGACAAAATACCGTATGGAATAAAACTGTCATACTCACCATGACTCATCTGTTAACTTATGAAAATACACTTACATTAAGAAATGCAAGAAAATTGCTCACTTCACGTGCTTATGGGTGGATTGAACCTAATTTTGTAGCATTAAAACCAATTTCCCACTGAGAAAACATGTCACAGATGATGGCATGAACCTTTATAATTATTAATAATATTTGATATTTCAATGTCACCTTTCATCCCGAGATCAGTCCTGTACACACGGGAACAGATAAGCTCCAAGGGAACAGAGATAATACTAATACAGTAATTCACACTGCATTTCTATCTTTTATATTCCAATGGCTTTCCAGCTATGTATTTTTCTTGTTTTTAGAAAGTCGTGGATATAGTTGTAAAGCAGAGGTTTTTTTGAGCTCCTACTTAAAGAAGTTTTAGGGTGGTGTAAGGACCACATCTTTCTGCACACAACTATCCTTGGGAGATTACTTCCCTTTGCTTAGTTTCTTTACCTGTTGATCTCCTTCTGAGAACCAGCAGTGGGCTATGTTCTCATGGATTCTCCAACTTCCTTCAAACGATTAACATCATCATCATCATCATTACAATAATGGTGACTACTACCGCTGCTGCTTGTGAAACATTCACTTTAGGCCTGCTCTGTTCTACTTTCTGAGAACTTCATATACATGCCGCATTAAATAATTTCACACCAACATTATAGAGTAGGACTGTTTAGCAGAACTTTCTGTAATGATGGGCAAGTTCTATATCTATGCTGTCTGATATGGTGGCCACTAGCCACAGAGGGATATTGGGTACCTGAAATATAGCTAGTGCTACTGAATAGTAAAAAATCTACCTGCAATGCGGGAGACCAGGTTCGATCTTTGGGTCAGGAAGATTCCCTGGAGAAGGGAATGGCCACCCACTCTACTATTCTTGCCTGGAGAATTCCCTGAACAGAAGAACCTGGCTGGCTACAGCCCATGGGATGGAACAGAGTCAGATACAGTTGAATGACTCACACAGTGCTACTGAGGAACTGCGTCTTTCTTTTATTTAATTTTCATTGACATACTCACATGGCTAGTGAACTTGATATACACACCACATAAAATAATTTTACACCATTGTAAAGTTCTGTTCAACAGACCTTTCTCTGATGATAGAAATGTGGCTAGTGACTATTGAATTAGACAGCACAGTTATATAATTTGTGGTTTATTTTTTTTAAAACCCTGTTTTCATCATCAGTAAGAACTTAAGACTAGGGTGAGTGAAAAGTTCAGAAATATCTCAAAGTTTACAAATATTTTAAAAGAAGTCCCATATTTTACATTTGGAGAACTTTTAATTTATATCTGCTCCCTGTCAAAATTTTATTTAAAAGATGCTTGTGGAATGGTAGGAAAGCACAGGATAATTTCTTAACAAAGAACCCTTATAGAAGACGTGGGCGATGTCCTTAAATGAAATCTCATTGTCCTCCAACCATTTCACATGGTCTGCAATGACAGGCACTAGTCCAGCCACTGATAATTGAAATTCCAATTACTGATACTTCCAAAGGGAGACATTCACCACCACTAAAATGGAGTGATGAAAGAGAGTTTTATGTTTTGGGTGTCCATGGAGAAACAATCTTCAGATAAACTCTTAATTCACATTTCTGTAATTCTCTCACTGAAACCACCTCCCCAGGATTTCTCTAGTCTGTGTGTGAAAATATGGGAATAAACTGTTTTGACGTGGAGAAATTGATTGGAAGACTTAATTGCATTTCCGCTTAGTCCACTTTGTAACTTAGACTGTTACCACTGCCAGAGACAGAGATTGCAAGTAGCCTTTGGTTTGAACCATCTGTCGCCAAAATGTGACATATGTTTGCTTTGTTTACTCAACAACCAAGCGTAAACTGATACACTGAACAAGAAATCCGTGTGAGGTGTGACTGCGTGTGTGTGTGCGCGCGCGCGGGTTTGTACGCACGGCGCGTGTGAGGAGGGGGTGTGCTTGCTGAGGGCTTCATACCCGCCCCCGAGGAACACGTACACAGGAGCGCAGATCCGTCGGATGTCCCCTGGGTTTGGAGCGCGTGTTGATGCCCCCGCGCCCTCCAAACAAAGCGCAGCGCGCAACCCAGCGGCCGCCGCCGCGGTGAGGCACACGCCTGACTTAAGTGTAGTTGAATGGAGAGCTACGCAGCCCTTCGCGTCCTTCCTCCTTTTTCCCCCTCCCTTACACCCCGGCCTCAAACTTCAACCCAAGCCCCTGCCCTTTTCAATTATCCACCCTTCCGTCAATCAAATTGACCATTTCTCTCTCTCTCTCCTGGGTAGCCCATTGTCTAGTACGATGGGTTTGCATATTTGACAGCTGGGCTCACCTAGACTTGATGAAAACTCGGCTTCCCCAAAAGGTGAACTTAGACACCAGCAAAGATCCCATATATAAGTCCTGAGCCGCTGGATGAGCTTGCCATCGCGAGCTGTTGCCCAGACCCCTCTCTGGACCCAGGGTAGACGTTAATGCCCCGTGCGACCTCCGGCGTGTGAAGAGGGGAGCGTGTCTTCAGGGCGGGGTGGGGTAGGGGTGTGGGGTCAGCAACCTGGCTGAGAACGAGTGGTCCCAGGGGTTGGGATCAAGGGCTGCGCGTGTGTTGAACCTTTAAATTTATTATTATTTTAAATTTTACTCTTGAAACAGCCAAGATGGAGGTCAGCTTATAAATTTCCCAAAGCCAGGTCTGACGCGGTTTAAATGCAGTGGGCGAGGGGGTGAGCTTTTGTCTCCTTGTTCAGGCTGGAGAAGAGAGGCAGAGTCTGCGTGTGCATGTGCGAGTGTGAGTGTGAGCATGCTGGCGTGGATGACTGGCTGGGCACATCCCGCGATCGCAGCTCCGAGGGCCAGGGTCTGAGTGTGTGTTCTAACGCGCCCCGAGGGCCAAGGTCTGAGTGTGTGTTCTAACGCGCCAAATCTTGAGTCACAGCCGCGGGTGACGTGGGGAGAAACTTTGCGGTGAGAAGAAGGGTCTGGTTTGATTGCGCTAAGAGGGAAGGAAGAAAGAGGCCTTGTGCATTGTGCGTGTGTGTGTGAGAGAGACAGAGAAAGAGAGAGAGAGAACTGAGAGAGAGAGTAGCGGCGCTCGCGGCCGGCTGCATAGCGCTGTGTGTCCTGTGCGCGCTTGCGGGATCCAGCCCCGGGTCCCACGGCCCGTGAGTGTGTGCATCTACGGCGTCCCTGCGGGCGAGTATCGGAAGGGCTGGCGGTGTGCTGCGGGGTGGCGGGAGCAGGAACAGGCGGAGGGTCCTCCGGCAAAGAAATCTGGCCTCGGAACCCACTGTCCGCCGAGCAGCTCCCAGTAATCACTAACATCCCTAAGGGACCTCCCGAGCCGGGGCTCTGCTCGGAAAACACCCTGGCCCAACTTGGTCCTCTGCGCTCTCGTAGATTACCGCATCTTTCTTCCTAGTGCAGAGAAGTGAGATTGGAAAGGGAAGGAGGGGGCGAGTATAATCCCCCACCCCCAACTCCCCACCCCCCAGTAAATAAATAAATAAACTGGCATCTCGCCGCAGCTGGTTAAGTCCAGGTTGGTAGCATTTGGATAGAGTTCTCCCCTTTTGTCGGTTTGGGAACCCGTCGCCTCATCCTCATTCTCCTCTACCCGTCTTGTGGGCGCCCCTGAACTTTGGGGCGCAGCGTCTTGCGCGGCGCGGGGCTGCACCTGCCCTGGCGCTCCAGAGCTGCGGGCCCTGTGCGCTCGGCCAGGGTGGCGGCGATGATGCGCGCGACTCCGGGGCGCTGGGCTAGTGTCTACGCGGCGCGGACGCCAGGAAGACAGCGGAGGACAGCGCGGCGGGTAGGGGCTCGCGAAGCGGGTTTCAGCCCCAACCGGGACATCGGTTCCCCCTCTCGCGACTGCCTCTGAATGGAGGCGAGCCCGAGGAGGAGGGGATACGGCAATGGGGGGCAGCGATTGGTGGTTTGGGTGGAGAGGGCCGGCTGAGCCAGCGAGCTGGCGCGAGGAGGGGGCGGTGAACTTCCCGGGAGAAGGGGCTCTTTCCGCGCCAGGGCTGGCGAGAAAGCTACCGCCGCCGAGTGCTTCGACTCCAAGCAGCGGCCGGCTCGCTCTCGGAAAGTAACGTTATTTATTTATTTGCTTGCGTTCAACCTCTTGGATTGGACCCAGTAGACACCTCCTTGGACTTTGGGAGCCCGCGTCCGACCTCTCTAGCCTTTACCCTGCGCGTGCGGGCGGCTCCCGGGAATACACGCACATGCACCCCCGGGGGCCCCCTCCCAGCGCCCCGACCCGGGTAGGGGTGGGTCCTCACCCGGGCGCTAAAAAGTCCCCCAAGGCAGGAGCCGGGGAGGGCAGAGGGGCGGGGGAGGCTACAGCGCTCTCCGCTCTCGTTTCAAAGCGCGCTCTCCCTTCCAGGTTGGGTCGGACCTGAACCCCTAAAAGCGGAACCGCCTCCCGCCCTCGCGCCAGCCGCCCGCCCGGAGCTGAGTCGCCGGCGGCGGTGGCGGCGGACGGACCGGGGAGTTTCCTCTCGCCCTGGATGGAGCTGAACTTTGGGCGGCCAGAACAGCGCGGCCGTCCGGGGATCGCTGCATGCTGAGCTCCCTTGGCGAGACCGAGCGGCAGGCCGGGATTTTCGGGGGGGCGGGGACCAGCTGCGCGTCGGCACCATGTTCCTGGCGACCCTGTACTTCGCACTGCCGCTTCTGGGTAAGTCGAGGCCGCCGCTGGCTTTCTCATCCGCGGAGTCTTTCCGGGAGCACTAGCGGCAGCAACCACCTCCCCCGCCCCGGCCCCAAATTGCGTTGCTGGTGCGGTGGGGGTGGGAGCGGGAAGTTTCGTTGCTGAACCCTCAGCAACCCCGGCTGGGGAGTGGGGCGCGGGCGGCGCGGCACTTGCCCGCAATTTTTCTGCCTTGGTTTTTGTTTCCTACGTTTTGTATTGACTTAGCCTGCGGGCAGTGAAAGGGTCTGAGCCCTCCAGCCCCGAGCCCGACGCTCCTTGCCAATCCACGGGAGCTCGCGGAGGCGCGGCGGGCAGGTGGGGTGTGGACGAGCACCCGGCCAGGAGAGCAAAGTTGGAAGGAAAGAACTTTTTCCCCAATAGCATCTCAGGGCTCCCCACCGGGCGGGCTGGGGACCAGGGTTCGTCCTCACCGCGGCCAGTGCCCAGCCCGCTGCTCTCGCCTTCCGAAAGCCCCTTGGCTTCAGTCGGGCCGGGCGGAGCGAATGGCTGCAACTGGGGCCGGCGGCTCTGGAGGTCGAGCGGACGCTGAGGCCGGTGGGTCCCGGGGCGGCAGGGCCGGCGCTCGCGGTGGGCAGCGCTGGCTCGCGGGCAAATCGCGAGAAGCCCGCAAGCTTCGGGATGTAGTAGGGGGAGACCGGCGGCAGGAGGTGCGGGGCGGGAAGATGGACTCTGGGGGGCAGCGGGGCTGGCGTGCTGGGTGCGCCGGGAGCCCCAGAAGCCGGGTCCTGCGCGCGTCCTCCCTCCCCGTTGGCGCCTCGCGCCCCTGCTCCGCCGCACTCACGCGCCCTTCCCTCCGCCCGCAGACGTGCTCCTGTCGGCCGAGGTCAGCGGCGGGGACCGCCTGGACTGCGTGAAAGCCAGCGATCAGTGCCTGAAGGAGCAGAGCTGCAGCACCAAATACCGCACGCTCCGGCAGTGCGTGGCGGGCAAGGAGACCAACTTCAGCTTGACCTCGGGCCTCGAGGCCAAGGACGAGTGCCGCAGTGCCATGGAGGCCCTCAAACAGAAATCGCTTTACAACTGCCGCTGCAAGCGGGGCATGAAGAAGGAGAAGAACTGCCTGCGCATCTACTGGAGCATGTATCAAAGCCTGCAGGGTAGGCGCGACCGGCTCCCCACCCCCCCAGCCCCTGAAGGCAGGGGGCCCCCAGGCCCCGGGGGTCTGGCTGACCTCATCTTCCACTCACTTCTCCCCAGCTGCAGAATGAGGACCTTTCATGGGCCCTCAGGGACTGCGGCAGCTGGTGTTTGCTGCCTCCCTAGCAGCGCTGTTGGGGCCTGGTTGTTGGCAAACCCGCGTTGGGGTGGAGGGACATCCCAGGGACCCCCGCTGACCTCTCTGAAACTTGGTCGTGACATCGGAGTGGGAATCCATTAAAGGCCGCCTCGAGGAACCTGCGACTTCCCTCCGAGGAGGAGAGCTGGCTCCCCAGGATAATCCAGAAGCTTGCACTGCGTCTTGCCTGAAGTTTCTCTCTCTGTTCTCCCCTTCTATTCTGACACAAGATAAAGAATTCAGAATAAAAAGTCCAGTGGAGTCTATTCTATCTTTACCATCCCCCCACCTCCAAACCTGATCAAAGGCAGATGTTGGGGGGGGGGGATTTGTCATCTTAGGTGATCTGAGCCTTGAACCAGCTAGTATGGTTCAGCCTTGGTTCATACAGAAATGACTCAGAGGGGGACAGGTCTACTTGTTACAGTTATCCATTACAATGGCAGTTTTTTGGTCCTTGTGTGCCAGAGGTGGCTCATGTTTGTAAATCTAACACAAACATTCAGTGCCTTCATTCTCCACTGAGACTCTTGCTGAAAATCTGTAATATACAGATTTGACCTCTCAGCTGCTACTTCCTCCAGAACCGGTTAATGAAAACCTATTTCAGAGGCTGACTGTTTAAGAACCAGAGTACCTGCTTTGTGACCGCATGACATGTTTTGGGAGCCAAAAAAAAAAAAGCAGGCGAGTGGGGGCTCTTTAGGGTCACCTTTCTTCCATTGGCTCCTGGAGGCAATCTGGGCTTGTGACGTCACTGATTCCTTCCTCTCTGGTTTCCTTCCTTTGCAAAGAGTGGGAGAGTTTTCTGGCAAGATCAGCCTGGGTTGCTCTCCAATGTTTTCATGGCACTCTGGGGAGATCAAGGACAACAGAGGCAGAGGGAATGAGAAGAAATAACCAGAGCCAAATAGATGCATTTGAAATCTTTGAAAGTTTCAGCATCTTTTTGTTACACAGTCATCACATAATTAGAATTCAGATTCAGTAACAAAAACTGCCTGAAATATGCCTGTTTTCCAATCTGAACCCAATCTTTCTATTGTTTTTAGGAAATGATCTGCTTGAAGATTCCCCGTATGAGCCAGTGAACAGCAGATTGTCTGATATATTCCGGGTGGTCCCATTCATACCAGGTAAGCAGATTCATACTTCCACTCTGATGCCCTCGCCCACTTGAAATCCGTTGGCTTGCATTCTCTTTGGCTCTCAAGCAGTGTATAAGGAGATAGTTGAATGGCACAGTGTTTCTGGGAAATTAGAAACAGGATGATGATAATGAAGAGGCAGAATGCCTAGAGATGATTGTATGACTTGAAAGTAATTCTAAATGAAGTAATGTGGTGTGGTGGTTTGAAAGAGGTTGGAGGAAAGTGACTTGGTTGAATTCCTCCCCAGCCCCCCCGCAATAAAATATGATTGGCCAACTCTTGCAAAGGGAGTGCCACTTCTGTCTGTAGGTGGCAATCGTATTCCCTTCTTGCTGCATACTGTACACGGTGCCTCCCTGGAAATGGGATCTATTTAAATGATGCTGCTTTACTTTACAAGATGCTTGAAGATAATCTTAGATTGCTGAAGACTCTTGGACGGACTCACGTGTCTGCCTTTGATTTAAAACATTAAGTTCTATTATTTGTTAACTTTTTTTTGTTTGTTTTTAATTTTTCCTGAGCAAGTGTGTGCATATATGAAAGAATGTGTTACTGCCCTTTCAAAAGTGGTCTCACTTCCCATGGTTTGTTTTGTCTTTGCAAAGCTACATTTGGTTTGGAAGTGAACTTAGTTTTAGAATTAAGTTTTCTGTAACATCTGCATTCAGATAGCCCCATAAATAATGAGTGAGGCAGTAATTTCCCTTAATGACATACAGATTCCAGACTGATGTTGTCTTTATTTGTTTACAGTTAAGACTTTCTCAAGTATACACGGCCATCACAAATTTTATGTTTCTTGGTGGTTAGACGTGGTGGTTCACACTGAATGCGATTTTATGAGATGGTGTTTTGGTCCTGGTGAGAGTGTTCTAGTGTTCTAAATGTCTTGTGCTTTCCTGTAGAAAGTCGTAGAACCAAGAAAGTATGTAAATACTGAACTTATGTGTGAGTGTATTATACATACATTCATTCACAGACATCCATTGAGCACCTGCTGCATTCTCACCATTGGGAGTTTGGCAGTGAGCCAGATCGAAGTCATATCTGCTTCCCGTGAATCTTAGAAGCAGGCAGCAACTGGCATTTATTAAGCTCTTGTTATGTGCCAGGCACTGTTTAAAATCTTTTCATCACTAGCTTATGTAGTCTTCATCAAGTGTGTCTTACATATTGTTATTTCCATTTTAGAGATGAGATGATTGAGGCAAGGGGAAGTTAGGAAACCAGCCTAAGATCACAGAGCTAGTTACTGGTGAAACCAGAATTTAAACTCAGATTTATTTGCTGGGTTTTGTAACAGTTGTCTCTTACTGCTCAGAGTGTGCTCCTCAGATCATCAGCATGGACTGATGTCACCTGAAAGTTTGTTAGAAGTATGGAATCTCAGGCTACTTCCCAGAGCTGTGGGATGAGAATTTACATTTTAGGAAGCTTCCTGGGCTGAGTGCTTTATATGCTCAAGAAGCTTGAGAATCACTCCTCTGTATTATTTTGTGTGTGTGTTTATGTGGCCTGTTTCTGGGATAGAATATAAGAGGACAAGTTTAGTGTCAGAGGCATTCATACATGATCCTAAATGATGTTGATAGCTTATACCCCAGATCCCTGTTAATATTCCCTGTCCCTTTGGCCCAGCCAGGACAGTGGCTCAGAGAGTGGAGTAGGAATGCGCAGACAAGAGTGTATGACCCATCAGAGTTTTTGTGTTAGCAGATCAGTAGGAACTAGGGTTGGGTACCAGAAACCTGACTGACCTTCCTGGTACCGTGAGGGGCAGTGCCTCCTGCTGGCTGCCTGTGCCCTGGAAGCATTACTGCTCAGTCTTTGTACCAATGCCTTGAAGGATGTGAACCCTTCTCCCCTGCTGGGAAAGTGAGAGTAAGGAAATAGGTAAGGAAGAAGGTTCATGTGGGTTTTAATTTTAAAACTGTTGTGAACTATAGGGCTGTAATAGACTCATTTTACTCTCTCTGGGTCTCTCTTTTTTTGGTATAATGAGACGGTTGAAGTAAAAACTCCCCAGTCCTAACAGTCCATGATTCTGAGGGTGGATTGAGGTCACCTCCAAAATCCCCTTTTTTCAATCCTTGCATTCTTTCTCCACTTAAAGTGACCTGGCCATTCTTGGATACCACGGGCTTGTCTGGATTTTTTTTTTTTTTTTTTTTGATGATTATCAGAAATGCTTCTGCCTGGACCAAGTTCCAAGTCCCACCCATTCATTTTTTTGGATTGCTCTCTCGAACAGGTATGTTTTCATAACAAATATGTTGTAAGACCCAGCCTACCGAGGACCCAGAAGTCGTAATGAATTACTCAGGGCCAGGAAGATCTTGTCTGGAGCTATATTTTATATCTCAAGGGCATTGGATTTAGGTTCCAGCTGTAATGAGCTTTGACCTCTACAGTGACTGTGTTCCTTAAGTGGGTATGAGAGAGCCAAATGGAGCCTCGAGAGGTTTCGAGCCATTGAATAATGCATATGATCCAGTTTGGCATTTGTAGGATGGAGAGGGACAGAGGATCGGGATGATGAGTGCTGCTCTTCATGGTTTGAATCTGAGTTTCTAGAACATCTCTTCTGTTTTAAGAGTGTCTCTGAGGAAACCAGGTCAGCAGGGCCTTTGCCTTTTACAGATAGGGTAGCCGTCAGAGTTTCCATATTTGGATGTCTCTACCCAAGGTGAAGAGAATGTTTATCCACAAATGCTAAGGGTGAGCTGAATCCTTTCACCGAACAAGACATGTTTGACGTTCTTGCATTTCCATTTTCCTTGGCTTCATCAAACCCATAGCCATCTTTGCCACTGTTTACTTGATCACTAGTTAAAAGGCCATATGGAGATATTATCAGTGATGGGAACAAGGAAGGGACCAAAAATAAGGTTGAATAATGTAAAAACTGTCATCTGAAGCCTGAACTGCAGAAGGGAAATCAAGCAGGCTAGTCTGGCGAGAGTTGAGGTGGGAAGTTGGAAGGATTCTTCTCTTGGAAGCACAATAGCAGAAGTGGAAGCTTTGGCCTCCAAGGCACTTTGAAGGGCTCTAGGAAGTGCCCTTTCTGTGGGTGGATGCTGCTGTGGTTTTTAGGGGTCCCACCAGACAGTGAGCTAGAGGACACAAAGGAACAAGTGAGTCAGTGCAAGAGGACATCAGAAGAGAGGACCAAACACAGGAAAGTATCTTGGGAGCCAGGAGGGCAGAGCTGTGTGGGTGCTCAGGGTGTCTGAGGTTGGAGCTATCAAGTGATAATTTCACATCTGTGACTCTTAGCCATGACTTTACTCTTTCACTTCCATTCTGCCTCACCTTGTCTTCTTCACAAAAGTTCAAATGCAGCAAGAAATAAATAGTGATTTGAAAGGAAGATGAGCTTGTTGGCACTGTTTTTGGACTCTGGAGGGGGAGCGCAAAGCAGTGAGAAATTTGAAGAGTGGAGTGGGTGCTGAGAAGAGCCTGGGGATGGAGGATCAGAGAGTGGATATTAGCCCCTCAAAGGCAGCAAGAGATTTTTTTTTAAAGAAAGGGCTCCAAGATTTAAAAGTATTGATTGGGAGGTCGGATTTCGTAGAGAAGAGTCAAGAAATGCCAGATCTTCCTCAGGGGTAATTAAAGTCAATGGTATTTGCAAACAAGAGTGAAGTGGAGAGATTGTGGGGCAAGAGTGATGCTGGTATTTGAACATCCTGTATCTGCTTTGGTGAAAGACAAAGTTCTAGTTCTCTGGCTTTGCAACCATTTCCCTGCCAAGTCCCAGTCAGTGGCTTAGATTTTCACAGGAAACCTTAGGATCTTGAGATTGGTTCCCAAGTAATTGGAAATGGCTTGCCGCAGCATCAGATGCCCCTAAGCTCTCCTGAGTTTGGCTCCTTTTTGAATGATGCTGTAAATCATGAGCCAAGTTTAACATTTCTATTTTAATGCACCATCATATTTATGTAACTATTAAATGAAAAGTTTCTTAAAATGTTTACATGTTGAAGAAGAGCCTTATAAGACCATCTGCTGTCTTGTCAAATTATGACAAGAGAGAAGAGCTTGTAAGTACTAGCTGCTAGGGGTGTATGGTGGTCCTCTCCTTTTTATTCAGCTCTCTAATCGTGTGTCCCTCTGTTGAGAAACCCTATAAGTCTTTCGTTCTCTATTCTGGCATATGTTAAACTCCTTCACGGGGCTTCCAGGTGGTGCAGTGGCAAAGAATCCGCTTGCTAATGCAGAAGCAACAAGAGACGCGGATTGGATCCCTGGGTTGGGAAGATCCCCTAGAGTAGAAAATGGCAACCGGCCCCAGTATTCTTACCTGGAAATTTCCATGGACAGAGGAGCCTGGCAGGCTATAGTCCATGGGGTTGCAAAGAGTTGGACATGACTGAGCGACTGAACACACAGCACACGACCATCTTCCACACCTGGGCTCTGCCCTCCCTCTCGAAGCCACTTCACCTCTCCAGTCAAGCTCACTCTACAGAGCTCTACCATTCCCAGGTATTTCGTGTGTGTTCGCTTTCCCATGCCTTGACACTTGGCTTTGCCTCTGTTTGGGAGGTTTCTATTAGTTCTTCAAGAACAAGATCAGGTTTCATCTCTGAGGGCCGTGCTGGAATTCCCCCAGACAGGCACTTCCACTCAGGATTCTCTCACGCTGCAGCTCCCTCTTGCCTTTATGATAGCTGTTAATCACAGACTGTCGAGAGGACTTATTTATGCGTCTGTCTTTCTCACTGGAAAGTTGGGGATTTGCTTATGATGCCGGGTGTTTGCTCAGCATCAAGCATCCTTCCTGGCTCTAGGCAGGCATTAGCACAACCATATGTGCTAAGTCACTTCAGTCCTGTCTGACTCTTGCAACCCCATGGACTGTAGGCCGCCAGGCTTCTCTGTCCATGGGATTCTCCAGGCAAGAATACTGGAGTGGGTTGCCATTTCCTACTCCAGGGGATCTTCCTGACTCAGGGATTGAACTGGCGTTTCTTACACCT